AGGTTCGCTTTTCTGGGGGCCGGGACTGTTGTTGGGGGCATGACAAGCTGGCCGATGGGGCACAGATCCGGGAGGGAGCGATGAGGCTCAATTCCTGCCATGAGACGTTTTGGGGTAATTAGGGAGCCACATGAGACAAGCCAAGGGAGAAAAGCGACAGGCCGTTGTATGGCTCAGGGCTGGTCGTTTGGGTATTGTGCGAGAGACCCACCCCAAGCGTCCTTCTCTCTCCCTTGCCTGCGGTAGGGAGGACTAACAAGGAGGAACCTTACAGTGCAAAAGGCAAAAAACTAGGGCCGAAGTCCTTGAGCCACTGTTGCTGGGGCCAAGCCCCCCTCCCTCCATTCCCGCTCTCCCCTCGTCTCTCATGTCCTCAGACCCAAGTGTGCACAGCTGCCGAAAACACATCGATCTGGTCGACACACATACACAGAACTTGTGGCACCCAGTTGGATGCTGTGCCCTGTCCTTGTGCCCACCCCCTTGGGGCGGCCAAGTGGTCCCGATGCCCATGGTGGGTGGGACTACAGAACCGGACCTCCTGGAAGCAGGTCTCCCTCGCCGTTGGTTCTCTTCTCCCGACACTTCTCATACCTCCCTGGAACAGAGGAGAAAATAAGATGTTACTTTGGCCCTTGAGTTTCTCTTCCATTAGGTGAAGGAGCATAGATGGAGGGAGGAAGGAGCGAGGCATTAATGGGGGACTTTGGGAAAGAAATGACTCAATGAGAAAGAAACTAAAATAACCCCACCTTTGGTATGAGACAAAGTAGAGAGAAACGTGGACAGGCTTTTGAGATAGATGTCAGCCCTGCGAGGCAGGCCAGGCCAAGAAACAGGCACAGCAGAGATTCCAAGAATGCTACTTTATCGTAGTAGGGTATAACAACAGAATGTTGAAAGTCCGGGTTTCTCTACTCCGTCTTATACCAACAAAATCAAGGTGGGGTTATTTTGAATCTCTTCCTCCCGTTTTCCTCCTTCTCAGGACTAGTAACTTTTTCTGCAAGTCTCCTCTGATCACCTTATTCATGTCTTGCCTATCTCCAAGGTCAGCTCTACGTTCCTTAATTTTCTTTTAAAAAAAGGAGAGAGGAAGCTAGGTTGGGAGTTATGAGCAAGGGGAGGAGTGCAGAAACACCACAGGCCACACTCCTTCTCCAAGCTTCTAGGAAGACAAAGCAGAGCTGGCACTCTGTGCATGCTTCAGGGCAGGGATAATCCAGGTTGAATTTTCCACTTCTCTACATGTTCCTTTTCACTTGGGTGCAACCTCTGGTCATTCTGGGCAGCCCACAGATTTCCCAACGCCATGGGCTGCCCACCTGTAATGGTCTGTGGGAATGACCTTGGGAGACAGGAGGAAGATCCACAGACTAGGCAATGGTCAGATAAGAGGCAGCTGAGCCTGCAGCAGGAATGGGGGTGTGGAAAGCATCTCAGAAGGGACCCTCCCTAGTTTTCTGGAGAGTAAAAGGAAAGGAGGGGAGAAATACTTCCAGTCTTGCAAGATTCTGTTAATGTAACCTTACAATAAAGTGAGAGCTAGTATTTCTAGGTGTGCTTCTGGTCTGGACTACCTCACAAGGCTGACAGGAACTGAACAGAGCCAGATCTGGAGCCCAATTCCATTTTGCACCCCAATACACTAGGAGGAAACTATCTGAACAAGAAAAAATCTTGGGGAGTGTAACGGTCTGTGGGCATGACCTTGGGAGACAGGGGGAAGAACCACAGCCAGGGGAATGTTCAGATAAGAAGTAGCTCAGCCCACAGATGGAGGAAGGGTGTGCTAAGCATCTCAGAAGGGACCCTCCTTGTTTCTCAGCCTGTAAAGGTGAGGGGGGAGACTTGTACTTTCGGACTTGCAAGATTCTGTTAATGTAACCTTACAATAAAGTAGAATTAGTTCATCTGGGCATGCTTCCTATCTGGACTCCCTTGCAAGGCCGTCACCACCACAATCCCCCATCCTGTCTCACAGTAGGGCCAGCTCTGCTCCCAGAACAGCTCCAGTGCTCTCACAGCCCAGCCTAAAGTTCCACCCCCCGCCCTCCCGACCCCAACTCACGAGGCTGTGAGCGTGGAGTTGAGGAGCAACGTGGTGTGGAGGCGGTACAGCTGGCCCAACGTCAACTTGCGGTGCTGAATCGCCGGGGGGTCCGAAAATGCCTGCTGGCCCGATAGCTCTTCTCCCCGGCGCGCGTCCGCCAGCCAGCAGGGAGATGGCGGCCCTCTCAAGGCGGCGGCCCCCACCCCCGGAGAGACGCAGACCCCCAACAAGGACGTCTCCTCTGCTTCGGAGAGTTCAGAAGTGCTACTATGGTTGCTGCTGCTGCTAAGGGCACCTCTGAAGGCTCCGCTTTGGGGTTCCTGCATTGGGGGGCAGCCGGACAGCAAGACCGGGGGGAAAAGTTCGGAGAGACTTCTGCTCTGGCTGAGCTGCAGCGAGGCCGAGAGCAACTGCGAGAGGTTGGCTTCCGATTTGGATTTCAGCACCTTGGTCTTGCATGGCAGGAGCTGGACGGGGGTCTGTTGACGCAGCCTGGGGGAACCGCCCTGTTGCAAGGGCTTGGCGATGTCCTCCTCTTCCTCCTCCTCAGCAGCTGCCATGCCCCCCTGCAGCTGATGGGGCTCGGCCAATTCTTGGAAGGAGGCAAGCGAGAGGGTCCCGTAGGCGCTGTCGATGGAGGAACAGCGGCAGGAGGGCTCCGGTTTCAGGAAGTGGCCAGGGGCGTCTGGGAGCAGGTCCCCTGTCTCCAAGGTCGGCATGGTGGAATTGGGGAGGGGGTCGATGGACGACTCGTCCGCTGGCAAGCTGAACTGGCCCCCTTCAAAGGAAGGAGAAGGGAGCCCCTCGCTGGCCTCAGCCACCATCACGGAGATGGTCTCGGTGGAGCTGTCGGAGAGGCTGCAACCAAGGCAGGGGGGGGTTAGGGTCATGCTGCAAATGGGAGAAGGTGCAGGCTGCGGTCCTTAAAGGTCGTGGTATGTGGGAATGACCTTGGGAGATGTGGGGAAGAGATGCTGCCTAGGGAACGGTCAGATAAGAGAGGGCATAGCCCACAGCTACATAATGGCTGGAAAAAGAGACTCAGAAGGGGCTCTCCCTAACTTCTCGGGGTGTAAAGGAGATGGCAGGAGATTTGTACTTTCAGATTTGCGAGATTCTGTTAATGTAGTTTTACAATAAAGTAGAATTAGCACATCTGGTCGTGTTTCCTGTCTGGTCTGCCTGGGAAGGCTGACATCAATCTAGCAAGTCTGCAGAAGTACAAATTTCCCACCATCTCCTTTACAGCCCTTCTGTATATTACAGAATCTGATCTCCACTATCCTTGGAGATCAACCTTCACTTCGACAGTGACTTTGGGCTGATACGCGTTTCTGTCTCTGGAAACTCCATCCGAGAATTTTTATGTATTAGACGGATCTCCTGCCACAGTCAGAATCGACTTGCAGCCACCCAAATCACGACTCCCCTTCAAGGCGGGGCCAGCCTCTCCTTAAGTGATTTTTTCCCATCTGTGCAGGCCCCCTGGGGTTGTTTGGAGGGGCACCACAACGTCTCCAGAATACCCAGGACTACATTTCCCATCGAGTTTTGGGCAAGGCTTACAAGTTTAAAGTTTAGAGGCTCTGGAGGTTATTTGCAGCCTGGGGAAGTGCGAGGTGCCTTGCCAAAGGGCGACGTGATCTTCTTCCACGCATCCTCCCCTCGCTCAAAAGACGCTCCTCCGCCCCCGAGAGACAAGCCGACTTACCGTTGCTGGGAGTCCAGGCTGCTGGTGCTCTTGCGGAGGGTAGGAGGAGAGCTGGCTCCCGAGGAGCCCTGGTTGCCTTCGTCCTCCTCCTCTTCCTCCTCCTCCTCTTCCGCCTTCCCTTCCTCCACGTGGGAAAGCTGCTGGCTCTGCTGGAGCTGCTGAACACGCAGCTGCTCCAACTTATTCTATGGGGCAGAGGAGAGCCGGTCAAGAAGGCAGATAGACCCTCCTGGGGCAGGGAGGATCCTCTAATCCAGAGCCAACACAGGGATGGGCCCTAGAGCAGGGTTTCTCAACCTTGGGAACTTCAAGCTGCGTGGATTTCAACTCCCAGAATTCCCCACATTCCAACAAAACTCAAACATCTGATGTCTAGAATGTCATTCTCTTTGAATTTTGGGGTCTTGCTTTTTTACTCTTCAGGTTTTTAACCTTGGATCTACAAAGCCATTGTTCAACATCCTAAATTAGTGTTTCTCGATTTTGGCAGCTTGAAGATGTGTGAACTTCAACTCCCAGAATTCCCCAGCCCGCCATTCTCGGCGGGGAATTTTGTGAGTTGTAGTCCCCACATCCTTAAATTTTCCAAGGTGGTAAAAAACGGCCCAAAAGGA